AGAACTGACTGAATTTCTCTCACTGGCAGCACCCTCTATGCAAGCCACCTACCTCTTTCCGAAAGTGGGTGATGATCTTGTGTGGTACTGAGATGACCTCTCCATGACTGGTCCGAAGGGCAGGCAGAGTTCCTGACATTGAGAGAGAAGTATACCAACCAGGCCCTTAGCTGCCTATTCACACATATTTGCAACACATTCCTGCCTATCTCATGTTCCTCCCCTTTTACACACCCTTCCTCACCCCCAAAGGATACTGGGTACCTGAAGGGCTCCGCCAAGGGTTGCTGATCTTGTGCACCTTCAGTGGAGCACCAGTAAATCTGGCATAGGTCTGCAGGGAATGAAGCAGAAGGCAGAAAGGCAGGGCCATGGTCCCCACAAGGGATATCAAGAAGAGAAATAACATTTATTGAATACCTATGTGCCATGCCCTTTGCTTAGTATCCTAGTCCAAAGAAAAAAGGGGAAGACACTACCGCTGCTATTTCACAAATGGACAACACAGGGCTTAGAGAGATTATGGACATGTCCATGATTACAGGTCAGTCAGGAAAATCCTTCCCTCTGTCTCCTCCCCTGTCATCCACCTTGTGAACATTTATCCTCAGAAGCTTTTCCTAACAAGTATCCCTCTTCTTGGAAGCACTGAGCATGCCTTCTCTTTGGCACAATCTGTGGTCTGTTCCTACTTATACCTGAATATTTTATTATATTTATTTGCTTACCTATCTGCCTTTGTGTAAACTCAAGGGAAGGAACCAAATTTTATTCATCTTTGCACGGCAATATTTAGTATTTGGAAGAAATATAATAGATGCTTTTCAAAGCAGGAGTGAATGAATGAATGAAGCTAACTAAGTCTGTCTGATTTCTAAGCTCTTTCTACAGAGCCTGGCTGAGTCGTTTGGTCCAACAAACAATAGGCTCAGTAAATGCTGTTAAGTGAGGAGGAGGAAAAGAACGGGGGTGAGGGAAAGGCAGGAATTCCAAGCCAGAGTAGGTCCCTGAGATAGTCTAGCCTAGTAAACCTCCTGATGGAGAAACAACGCCCAGAGAAGAAAAAGAATCGCCCCAAGGTCACATAGCCAGTTAATGGATGAGCAAGGACTAGAATCCAACTCCTGAACTCCCGACCAGGCGTCTTTTCATTGCTGCATGAAACCTAGAAAACTACAGCACAGGACATTGAGCCCATAGCGGCCACGTACGCTCTTTGACTGCCTCAGTTTTTCCCAATGCGCCCGTGCTGAGTAGCCCTGACAAAGTTCGGATGCTTGGCTAGTTCGGCCCCCTCCCCAGTCATCACGGCACAGCAGAGGGCGCCGGCGCCTCCCCTCACCAGCACGGCCAGGCTGTCCAGGTCCACTGACGGCAGGCCCCAACCCCCTGACCAGCAGAATAGCTCCATGGGCGCCGCCATCTTGCCCGCCCTCTGTCCCGGAAACACTTTCTTCTGTGCTCTTGCCCTCCCCTGCACGGACCCGCCCCCCGCCGCCGCTCCTCGGGTCGGGGCGGGCAGGGGGCCTGGGGAGGTCCCCGGGCAGGCGAGGCTTCTCTTGGCTCGACTGGCAGCCGCACTGCGGGGGACTGGGCCGCGGGCCTCGGGGAGGGACGGCCGCTGGCCCACCCAGAGGCAGGCCCCGTAGCGGGACAACGCTGTCAGCCAGGCGCGCCTCGGAAAGTCACGGCGCTTCGGCTGAGTGGAGCCCCGAACCCCCGACGGCGCGGCAGGCCCAGGAGAGCGGGGTCTTGTGCGCCTAGGCCAGGTCTGGGGGCTCTTGCCAAACTGCACGTGGCCTGTACTGCTCTGGGGCCCCTCGGGGCTCGTCCCAGAGCGGGGACTGCGGGGGGGTGGTCCCCCGAGCAGCATGTTTTCCACAGCGCGTTATGTTTGGAGCAGGCCCTGCGCCGCCTGTCGCCATGGAAACAAAACAGGGGCGGTGGCGGCGGCCGGAGCGGACGCCGGACTGGGGCCTGGGTGGGGGAGGGGAGGAGAGTGGAGGCTCGCAGGCTGTTGTTGCCTAGGTAATGGGAACTCAGGCGCCCCTCTGCTTCATCCAGGTCAAGGACCGTCCGGTAGTACCTACACGGCTCCACAGTCTGGTCGTTGGCTCCTGGCTCGTCCCCCTGTCTTCTGCGCCTGTCCCTGGTGCCCCTTTTCTCTTTCTGGTTTCTTCACTCCGACCTCACTGACCACTGCTTTAGACTCTCCAGTTCCCGTCAGACGCTTCCAGACTCCCAAAGTTTCCTAGAAATGAGGGAAAATGGAGAAACAGGCACGAGTCAGGGGACCCCCACCCTAATAAAGAGCACTTGCTCCACCAAAACAGTAAACTTCATGCCATGTGGGCATCCCTGGGCACTATAGCAAGCTAGTTTTGGCCACTCCCTTGGCATCCTTTCCTGCCAGCTGTGGAATAATGCCCAGTCTAGCACTGCCCCTGGTAGGGGTTCTTGCCTTCCACAATCGTGGCTTCCAGAAAACAGTAGCATTTGGTAGCGCTGTGTGCTGAGACCCCCAACAGTGTGATGACTGCGGAAAAGGAGGCAACTAGGGGAGGACCATTAGCGGGAGGTAAGAGGCAGGGAGGCCTCCAGGACTCTTTCCCAGTGCCCCTGGTTCCCAGAGCTGATGATGCCCGCAGGGTGATTGGCAGCTCTTTGTTTCAGCCCCCCCCATCACCCGCCTGCTGGCCCCCCCCTCCGACTCCATCCCTCCGCCCCCCGGCTCCTGCTCTCTCCGCCTAGCCTTTTCCCCTCCCAGCTGCCTGCCTGCCAGGGGTAGTGAGCCGGCTGAGCGGCATGGAGACGCAGGAACTTCGGGGGGCCCTGGCTCTTCTCCTCCTTTGCTCTTTCGCATCTGCCAGTCAGGACCTGCAGGGTAAGCCTGTCTCCATCCTCTTAGACCACTCTGCCTCTTTCCCATTTGCCCCCAGCCCAAGTAGCAGAGAACATGTGGGCAAGGAGAGAGGGGAAGAGTCCAGAACTTAAGCCAGAGGAAAACGTTACACTGCCTAGAATTGGTGAAATTATGACCTGGTGGAGAGGAGTGGGCACCAGAGGGTAGTCGGGGAGTCGGAACGGGCCAGGGTAAGGCATGAAGCCAGGGCAGAGGACTCAGGAACTGGATGCTCAGGCTGCCTGGCTGGGGTGGTGTCTGAGCATCTGTAGACACCCCAGGGTCTGGAAGAGCAGCCTGAAAGTGGGTGTACTGTGTAGGTCCCTGGGCTTCATCCCCCTGTGCTCCTGGGTGTCCAAGGACAGGGCGGGGGTGGGGACCAAGAAGCCTGGGCTCTCCTAGAGGTCTGGTGGTGGGATGGTCCCATGGGTGTGGGAGAGGTAGCTGGAGCAGATGACACAGGCATAGATTCTTTACTGGCTGGAGGGAAAATCACAGATTGGCCAGGACACAGGAGGCAGAAGAGCTGGGTCCTACATTCCCATGGGAGAGAGCCCAGATGGTGGGAGGGTCAGAGCCCTCAGTGGGCAGCTGTTCTTACCCAGAGCGATTGTGATGTGCCCTTAGGATGGGAGGAGGGACACTAGGGTGTGGAACGAGCCAAATCCAGCAGTGGAAAGAGAAGCTGCCTCCCGTTTCTGCCTTGTGGGCACCAGGTGCCACTCCTGCGGGGGATCAGCACAGCATCTCCCTTGCGCCACCTGGTGGATTCATCTCAAATTTGTGGGGTGCTGTTTCTGTTTCTAAGTGAGCCTCAAGCCTGCAGGTTCCTGGAAGATGGTAGTAGGCAATAATGGGGAAAGGAAGGCACAGTGCCTCTGTCCTCTGAGAGCAAGAGTTGAGTTTTGAGGTGACTAACGCTGCCTGGTGGTGGGGGTAGGGGGTGATGTGGGCTCAGGGGAGGGCATACCTTAGCATTTGATCCCATTCTCTAACCTTGACAACCCCTGCCTGACCAGTAATTGACCTGCTGACTGTGGGCGAGTCTCGGCAGATGGTGGCTGTGGCAGAGAAGATCCGGACAGCCTTGCTCACTGCTGGGGACATCTACCTCTTGTCTACCTTCCGCCTGCCCCCCAAGCAGGGTGGTGTCCTCTTTGGCCTCTACTCTCGCCAAGACAACACACGATGGCTGGAGGCCTCTGTTGTAGGCAAGATCAACAAAGGTGACTGGTGGGCATCTCCTTTCCTGCAATGGTGATCCCCTTGAGCACTATCCCTCATCCCTACTTCCCAAGTGCTTCCTAATTCTCCTTGGCCTCCTCTGGGGACCATGGTCCCATCTGGCTGTGCTCAGACATCAGGGGCATCTGGTACAGGGTGCTTACAAGGTGGCTTTAAGAGGCCAGGTACCAAACAATAGGGTGAAGCTTGAGGCCTGGTATTTATAGGGATGGGTTGTACTTGGGATGCCTGGAGGGAGGGTGAGGCATGTCTTTGCCTCAGCAGTGATATAGAAAGGTCCTTCAGATCCCTGGCACAGTTCAGTGGGCACAAAACCAGCTGTCACCCTAGGAGAGGACAGAGTCATCTAATACCACTGAAGACTAAGACAGTCTTAGTCTCCAAACTAATTTTTTATTTTTATTTTTTTAATTTTGGTTCCCATACCAGGAGTCGAACCTGGGCCACCTGGGTGAAAACCAGGAATCCTAACTGCTAGACTATATGGGAACCAGTTTTTTTTTTTTCAAACGGCATCTCACTCTGTCACCTAAGGTGGAGTGCACTGGCACAATCTCAACTCACTGCAACCTCCGCCTCCCAGGTTCAAGCGACTCTCCTGTCTCAGCCTCCCAAGTAGCTGGGACTACAGCTGCCCACCACCAAGCCCTGGCTAATTTTTGTAATTTTAGTAGAAACAGCGTTTCGTCTGGTTTTTGGTAAGAAAAAACTAAAATATATATATAAAGAAAAAAAGAAACAGCGTTTCGAATGTTGACCAGGCTATTCTCAAACCCCTGACCTCAGGTGATCTGCCCACCTTGGCCTCCCAAACTGCTAGGATTACAGGCGTGAGCCATCACGCCCGGCCTCTAAACCAATTTGAAAAACATTTATTGTGTACCTATTACATACAAGGTGCTGAGAGCTACATAGTAGAATTAGGGATGGGAGCCCTAGAGATGTATCCAGCAGAGTTGATCCAAGTCTCAACTGGGAGGCAGGGGATGAGGGGACAGTGCCCATACTGATCTCCCCTCCTGGGCAGTACTGGTGCGGTACCAGCGGGAGGACGGCAAAGTCCACGCCGTGAACCTACAGCAAGCAGGCCTGGCCGATGGGCGCACACACACAGTTCTCCTGCGACTCCGAGGCCCCTCCAGACCCAGCCCTGCCCTACATCTCTATGTGGACTGCAAACTGGGTGACCAACATGCAGGCCTTCCAGCACTGGCCCCCATTCCTCCAGCAGAGGTCGACGGGCTGGAGATTAGGACTGGACAGAAGGCTTATTTGAGGATGCAGGTGAGCTGGGAGGAGCCTCTGAGTTCTGTGGAAATAGAGTTTGCACCAGTTGGGGAAGGGGTTGGTAGACCTTCCCACCTTATTCTGCTGCTATCCCCCCAGGGCTTTGTGGAATCTATGAAAATTATTCTGGGTGGGTCCATGGCCCGGGTAGGAGCCCTGAGTGAGTGTCCATTCCAAGGGGACGAGTCCATCCACAGCGCAGGTAACACAGACTTGTTTGCTGACATTGGACCACAGGCCCTGTGGCCTTTGGTGAATCCTGTCTTCTCAACTTCCCTCTCAACACCCATTCCTTTGGCTCACCTTCCTGGGGGTTTCTAACTCTGTTATTCCAAATCTTCGACCTGACTCCACAATCTCCAGTACAGCCATCCCAGAAAACAACAAAGTGATCCAAGAGAGGAATATCACTGAGGAACTTTGGAAGGGATGGGAGAGAAAGAAGTTAATTGCTTAGTCTTGGCTGACTGAGAGATACTGGTCTTGAGTCTTTTTTTTTTTTTTGGAGACAGTCTTGCCCTGTCACCCAAGCTGAAGTGCAGTGATGCAGTCTGGGCCACTGCAACCTCCGCCTCCAGGGTTCAAGTGATTCTCCTGCCTCAGCCTCCCGAGTAGCTGTGATTACAGATGCCTACCACCACGCCCAGCTAATTTTTATAATTTTAGTAGAGACAGGGTTTTACCACATAGGCCAGGCTGGTCTCGAACACCTAACCTCAAGCAATCCAACCACCTTGGCCTCCCAAGGTGCTGGGATTACAGGCGTTGGCCACCGCACCTGGCCTGGTCTTTTTTAGTTCTCACTGGCAGCTGTCACCAGCAATTTCTCTGAGCATTACCCATTGCCTGGTCTCTCTGGCAGGATTGTTCAGAAGCTCTCACCTAAATCAAATACCCACCTTTCCCAGATATTTCAGAGAGAGAGAGAGCACTTGAAGGGAATGGGATGACCAGGTGTGGTGGCTCACGCCTGTAATCCAAACACTTTGGGAGGCTGAGGTGGGCAGATCACTCAAGGTCAAGAGTTCAAGACCACCCTGGCCAATGTGATGAAACCTCATTTCCACTAAAAAATACAAAAAATTAACCGGGCATGGTGGTGGGTGCCTGTAGTACCAGCTACTTGGGAAGTTGAGGCTGGAGAATGGCTTGAGCTCTGGAGGTAAAGGTTGCAGGGAGCTGAGATCATACCACTGCAGTCCAGCCTGGGCAACAGAGCAAGACTCCATCTCAAAAAAAAAAAAAAAAAACAATGGGGAGAATGGAATGTACTGGGGCCCTGGCCCTGCTTTGGGTCCATCCCTTCTGCCACTCCGATTTCTAGAAACCAGGAGGATTTGGGTTTTGACTTCCTATGAAGCAACTCCCTTAGAGGGTCCTTTGCCCTGTGAAAGGAGCTGGCACTCCTTGTCTGCCAGCTCTGCCCTCCCACCATTCAGCACCCCATCTTTATTCTGAGGCTCCAGCCCTGTCCCTGCCTTCCGTCCTCCTCGCCAGCCAGGCCTCTCTTCATATCACCTCACCCCTCTGACTCTGTTTTCTTCTCCTCTCCAGTGAGCAATGCACTGCACTCCATTCTAGGTGAGTAGGCCACGCTGAAGCGGGAGGGGCAAGGGGGGAGGAGGACCCAGGCTCTGGCAGCTGCCTCAAACTGAGTCGTCTTCAGTCAAGAATGTAGAAGGTTTAAAGGCAGGAGTGGGCAGCCATGGCAGGTGCTGGCTTATTGCCTACAAAGGGCCCTGGACTGGTACCCCACTACTGAGCCCCTCACACCCTGGGTCCTGACAGGGGAGCAGACCAAGGCGCTGGTCACCCAACTCACCCTCTTCAACCAGATCCTGGTGGAGCTGCGGGATGATATCCGAGACCAGGTTCGGGTGGGCCAGTGAAGGGTGGCACTGATTCTGGGGTGGGGTGGCAGATGCCAAGTGCTGACTCCTCCCCATCCTTCCCCAGGTGAAGGAAATGTCCCTGATCAGAAACACCATCATGGAGTGTCAGGTGTGCGGTGAGTGGGAGTGTAGGGGAGGCTCCAGATGACAGTGCCATGTTCCCTACCCAATGGCTTCAGCTTCCCGTTCTGGTGGCTTAAGTGGTGACCACCGGCTAGCTCTGACTGTGTCCACCCCTCAGGCTTCCATGAGCAGCGTTCCCACTGCAGCCCCAATCCCTGCTTCCGAGGCGTGGACTGCATGGAAGTATACGAGTACCCAGGCTACCGCTGCGGGCCCTGCCCCCCCGGCCTGCAAGGCAACGGCACCCACTGCAGTGACATCAATGAGGTGGGGGAGGGCAGAGCCCAGAAGGGTACAGAAAACTGGGGTGAGGATGTCAGGAGGGGCCCAAGAGGGTGGGATAAATGCTGGTCTGGAGGAGAGGAATCTAGAGTTTAGGAGCAGTCAGAGACAAGAAGAGAAATGCAAGATGGGAGAGAGAGAAAGCCCGGGGCAAAGACTGAAGGCCACACAGGGAAGGAGCTGGGAAGCGGCAGGGGAGGCCTGAGATGGCCACCAGGGGCTTGGGGAGGGAGCCAGGGAACCCCAAGGGAGGCGGGGTGGGGACCAGAAGCACAAGGCGATTGTGTGGAGAGGCTTGGAGCAATGGTTCTTGGATCACAGGCAGGGGCCTGAGTTTCCCAGAAGGCAGCCTGACCTCTGCCTTCTCGTCTGGTCCCCAGTGTGCTCACGCTGACCCGTGTTTCCCAGGCTCCAGCTGCATCAACACCATGCCCGGCTTCCACTGTGAGGCCTGTCCTCGAGGGTACAAGGGCATACAGGTGTCTGGTGTAGGCATTGACTATGCCCGGGCCAGCAAACAGGTCAGACTGGGTAATGTGTGTGGACAAGGGATCTTGGCCCTGTAGAGGCCAGGGGCTTCTGGGTTGGACATGGGACCCTTGTGATGTATGGGGCAGGGATGGCTTTGCATCGGCTTTGGGTCTGGGCTTAATGTTGATGTTCACAGATAAGGCCATACCAGTGCCCTCTGCTGTATCTGAGGAGACCCACCATAGGTCTGGTTCCACCCAAAGTCTGCCCCTTCAGGTCTGCAATGACATCGATGAATGCAATGATGGCAACAATGGTGGCTGTGACCCAAACTCCATCTGTACCAACACTGTGGTGAGCTGAATACCGAGTATTCTAGACTGATGGGAATGGTAAAATCCCACCCCCCACCCCTTTTTACCTTCAGATTTCCTGCTGCCCTTCCTCCTCCGCAGGGCACTACACAGATTAGGTGTTCATACAGACTTGGTTTGGAATACTGGTTTGCCTCTTGCTAGCTCTTTGGCATATTATTTAACCTTTCTGAGACTCAGCTTTCTCATTGGAAAACTGGGGCTGTTATCCACCCTGAAAGGTTGTCACGAGAACCTAACGGAGATGCTGCTACACCTGACATAGCTGAACGCCCAGCCCACACCCGGAAGGTGGGGCAGTGCTGGTTCTGGGTGCCTGGTGGGCTCCTTCCTGACGCTGCCGCTCCACTCTTAGGGCTCTTTCAAGTGTGGTCCCTGCCGCTTGGGTTTTCTGGGCAACCAGAGCCAGGGCTGCCTCCCAGCCCGGACCTGCCACAGCCCAGCCCACAGCCCCTGCCACATCCATGCTCACTGTCTCTTTGAACGCAATGGTGCAGTGTCCTGCCAGGTGAGCTAGGCTTCAGGCGTGGAAGGAAAAGGGGAGTCTGGGGGAAGGGGTAGGGCTCCGTTTAGGGCCTGGATTGGGGGCCTTCATGGGAGAGAGCTGGGCCTGGGCCTGGGGAACTGGTTGGTGGGGAGACAGAACCTGAAGCAGGGAAAATAGAGGGAGGAGGGGAGCCGGCCCAAACTGCTAGCTCCTACCCTTTATGTTGCCCAGTGCAACGTGGGCTGGGCTGGGAACGGGAACGTATGCGGGACTGACACAGACATCGATGGCTACCCAGACCAAGCACTGCCCTGCATGGACAACAACAAACACTGCAAACAGGTGCAGGGGGCAGGTGGGCGAGGGAGCGCGGCGGGGAGCCCAGGCTGGGTCAGGCAGAACTCATCATCCTTTTCCTCTGAACTTTAGGACAACTGCCTTTTGACACCCAACTCTGGGCAGGAAGATGCTGATAATGATGGCGTGGGGGACCAGTGTGATGACGATGCTGATGGGGATGGGATCAAGAATGTTGAGGTGACTCTCAGACTGCCCTGCCCCTGGAAGCTCCTCTACTCTGCTCCTGTCCTCTCAGTGCCTTTCTTACCTCATCCGGCAGCTCTCTAGGAAGGGCCCAATACCCCAAATTAGGGAGGCAAAAACCTTGTGCCCAGGACAAGGAGGTTGGGTGGGTGGGACCATGCCAAGCGGTTTGACCAGCATAAGGTTGTGATCTTAGAAAAGGCTACAGTGACAAGGTAGGTGCAAGATGACAAGTGGTTTAGGGGTGCTGACTCTTCCCCTCCCACCCCTCTGCCCAGGACAACTGCCGGCTGTTCCCCAACAAGGACCAGCAGAACTCAGATACAGATTCATTTGGCGATGCCTGTGACAACTGCCCCAACGTTCCCAACAATGACCAGAAGGACACAGATGGCAATGGGGAAGGAGATGCCTGTGACAACGATGTGGATGGGGATGGTGCAGGCCTGGGGCTGAAGGGGAGGCTGGGGGACCTGTAGGAATTTGAATCGGGTGGGGATGAAGCAGGGAAGCTAGGAAGTCTCTGTGAACTGGGGAGGCAGGCTTGTGGAAGTTGGAGAGATTACCTGCAGCAGATGTCAGTGGGAATGTGAGGTAGGATGTAGCGTTAGGCAGAGTGTGGACTAGAGGTGAGACAAGAAACAGGCAGATTTCCTGACCAGTTGTCCTCCGGGTGGGTCCTGAGAAAAAGTTCAGGACTTTCACCAACCTAGAAGAGAGAGTATGGCATGTTCTAGTAATAACCTTGTGCTTCCCATGTCTTCTAGGCATCCCCAATGGATTGGACAATTGCCCTAAGGTCCCCAACCCACTACAGACTGACAGGGACGAGGACGGGGTGGGAGATGCTTGTGACAGCTGCCCTGAAATGAGCAATCCTACCCAGGTACAGGGGGATGGTAAGGGCAGGGGAGGGATGAGGATACTGGTGGATGAGGCCCCAGCCCTTTGGATGGGAAATGGTCAGATCACCCTCTTGAGTTATCAAGAGAAGATGGTGAGAACAGGTCCCTCTCTCTCAGACAGATGCAGACAGCGACCTGGTGGGGGATGTCTGTGATACCAACGAAGACAGGTACGGTCTTAGCCAAGAGATGCAAGGTTTTTCTTTATTTTTATTTTTATTTTTGGAGATAGAGTCTTATTCTGTTGCCCAGGCTGAGTGCAATGGCATGATCTTGGCTCACTGCAACCTCCGCCTCCCAGGTTCAAGCAATTCTCCTGCCTCAGCTTCCCCAAGTAGCTAGGACTATAGGCGCATACCACCATGCCCAGCTAATTTTTTGTATTTTTAGTAGAGATGGGGTTTCACTGTTAGCCAGGATGGTCTTGATCTCCTGATCTTTTGATCTGCCTGCCTCAGCCTCCCAAAGTGCTGGGATTACAGGCGTGAGCCATCACATCCGGCTTTTTTTCTTGGAGACAGAGTCTCTCTGTCACCCAGGCTGGAGTACAGTGGTGCAATACTGGCTCGCCGCAACCTCTGCCTCCTGGGTTCAAGTGATTTTTCTGCCTCAGTCTCCTGAGTGTCTGGGATTACAAGCATGTGCTACCAAGCCTGGCTGTTTTTTGTATTTTTAGTAAAGACGAGATTTCATGGTGTTGCCTAGGCTGGTCTTGAACTCCTGACCTCAGGTGATCTGCCCACCTTGGCCTCCCAAAGTGCTAGAATTACAGGCGTGAGCCACTGCACTTGGGCCATAGTATATTCTTAATTTCTTCTATGATTTAGCCTTAATTCTTGATTGCTGTTGAGCAGTAACTCATTCTTATAGTCTACTCTCAATACCCACTGCCGGACCTTCACCTCATCTGGCTGATTGCCAGGGGTCTGACTGGTTGGAGTGTAGACTCCAGAGGCTCCTATGCAGAAGCAAGGGGAAGGACAAGGAGTACCTTTAAAGCCTTTATTTGGTTCTTGTTCTTCTGAGCAGCGATGGGGATGGGCATCAGGACACCAAGGACAACTGCCCACAGCTGCCGAATAGCTCTCAGCTGGACTCAGACAACGATGGATTTGGAGATGAGTGTGATGGTGATGATGACAATGATGGCATCCCAGATTATGTGCCTCCTGGTCCTGATAACTGTCGCCTGGTACCCAATCCCAATCAGAAGGACTCAGATGGTAAGCATGGGGACCCAGAGTGCGTTAGACTGGTGTTGCCTTTGCCCAGAGGGAGGCAGCAAGCCCTGTTGGGAAGTGAGGAAGGGCAGGGTGGGGAAAGAAGTCAGAAATGCAAGGCCCAACAGGTGGTACTGCTGCCTAGTGGCAGTGGGCAGGGCCTTCGTGAGTACCCAGCCTCACTTCGTGCAGGCAATGGCGTTGGTGATGTGTGTGAGGATGACTTTGACAATGATGCTGTGGTGGACCCTCTGGATGTGTGTCCCGAAAGTGCAGAGGTAACGCTTACGGATTTTCGGGCCTATCAGACCGTCGTCCTGGATCCTGAGGGTGATGCTCAGATTGACCCAAACTGGGTTGTGCTCAACCAGGTACTCGGGGCACTGGGATGGGCAGGTGCTATCAGACAGGGCTACCGAGGGAGCCTGGGAAGGACAGCACACCTGCATCACAGCTTTTTTCTTTACTGTACAACCCCAGGGCATGGAAATCGTTCAGACCATGAACAGTGACCCTGGCTTGGCAGTTGGTATGTAAGGGATACCCAGTTCAATAACTTCCAAATGGAGGAATCTTATAGGGGCAGAGGGTAGGGGAGGAAACAGACAGGGAGAGTGGGCAAAGTGGTGAGAGAGAAGGCAGTGGTACAAGCTGGCCACGCACATAGCAGGCATCCCTTCCCAACCTCACCCCATGATGAGCCACCAGGAGCTTTGCTACTCCTGACCTTTATCCCACCCCCACCCCAGGATACACGGCCTTCAATGGTGTGGACTTTGAAGGCACCTTCCATGTGAACACAGTGACTGATGATGACTATGCGGGCTTTCTCTTCAGTTATCAAGACAGCGGCCGCTTCTACGTGGTCATGTGGAAGCAGACGGAGCAGACCTACTGGCAGGCTACACCCTTCCGGGCGGTTGCCCAGCCAGGGCTGCAGCTCAAGGTCCCCAGCAGCCCAGATTCCCCAACCCTGGGTCCTTTCTCAAAGTTCTCCCGTGCAGCCCCAGGGCCTCCTCCCCTGCCTGACTGGGAGCCCTCTTACCCAGACATCTGGCATGGAGGCTGGCTCTCTGGGACCCAAAGCATTTTCGTGACCACCTAGACTCCCTTTCCCACCTGCACTTACCGACCTGTTGTCTCCCTTCACTCCAGTTCTGCAGTTGACCCACTGTCTTTGCCAATGTCCCCCAGGCAGTGACATCAGTGTCTGGCCCAGGTGAGCACCTCCGGAATGCCCTGTGGCATACTGGCCACACCCCTGATCAGGTACGACTGCTGTGGACAGACCCACGAAACGTGGGCTGGCGGGACAAGACCTCCTATCGCTGGCAGCTTCTGCACCGGCCTCAAGTTGGCTACATTCGGTAAGGAGAGGGGCTGAGCCCACTTGTGGGACTCAGGTCGGGCCTGTCCTTCCTCTTTAGCTGGGACTCACCAGTGGCCTCTCCATGGGTGGGGACTGCAGCCGCTTCTCTCCATCTCCCTTCTCACTGCAGACACAAGCACCTATGAGTGATGTTGGTGAAGTCACTCCTCCTCATGACCCATTTTCCCCTTTGTAAAATAAGGGCATTGGGTTAGATGCCCTTTACAGTTCTCCAGAAGCCTCCAAACCCAGGCCAATCTGTGGAGAGGCACATCACATCTGGCCACTTAATTGGAATGGCCTGGAACCTGCCTTATCAACCTGGATAAGAATGATCTGACCTGGAAGGGATCATCATTTACAGAAGAGAAAACCAAGGCCCTGACTTCACAGGCCTCGGTTCAGCACTTTGTCCACAACTTCGCATTTCCATCCCACAAGTAGCCCTAGTTGGTGGGGATGAACGGGAAGGGGAGGGGAAGTGGGTCTGCTTATAGGCTGCACTTTCTATGGCCAAGAGCCCAGAGTCCAGGAACCTGGGTTGGTTCCCCTTTAAGGTGCCTGGGGCTGTGGGGTGCCAGGACAGGGGATAAAAGGGGGTGGACTAGAGCCTGGGAAGCGGGTGACTTCACCCCCCAGCCCATTGTGCTTATCGTCATGGCAACCCAATCCTCGCTTGGAATGCGGCTGGTGCTTTGAGATGCAAAAGGAGCTGGACAAAGAGCTAGGGGCCCCAGGCCTGAGAAAAGCACCACCCTTCCCTCTCCTTTCCTGCCTCCCTTTCCCTCCCTCCCTTCTCTCTCAGGCCTGGTGAGCCCAAGGGGGGGCTGGGGAAAAGCAAGGCCCCAGGCCTGGTGGCACAGTGCCCACTGGCACCCTAGCACCCATGGACATTCCTGGAATCTTGGACAGGGTGAAGCTCTATGAAGGACCCCAGCTTGTGGCAGATTCTGGGGTGATCATTGACACATCCATGCGAGGGGGGCGTCTTGGTGTATTCTGCTTCTCTCAAGAAAACATCATTTGGTCCAATCTCCAGTATCGATGCAATGGTGAGGTGGCTGATTGAGATCAAGCTGATCTTTCATGCCTTGTGGGAGAGCCACAACCTGACCTAACTTATTTTCCCTTCTTCAGACACAGTGCCTGAGGACTTTGAGCCATTCCGGAGGCAGCTGCTCCAGGGAAGGGTATGAGGAGGAGGCCACTGGATTGAGAATTCAGAATTTTAGACCCTTCGGCCTTGGGGTCCATCCTGGAGACCTTGAGGTCTAAGCTACAGCCCCTCAGCCAACCACAGACCCTTCTCTGGCACCCAAAAGGAGTTCAGCCCCAGAGGGGTGGTCGCCCCACTGTTCAGGGGGTGAGAAGTTTTCAAGGGGTATTACTCAGGCACCAACCCCTGGAAAGATGACAGCACATTGCCATAAAGTTCTGGTTATTTTCTAAGCCAGTGCAACTGCTTATTTTAGGGATTTTCCGGGATAGGGAGGTGAAGTGGAAGGAATCAGAGAGTAGGGGAGAAAGGCTGGGAGGGTGGAAGTGAGGGATCTAGAGGAAGTTTGGCTGATTTAGGGGTGCGGGTGGGGAAGGTGCTGGATGGAGTTAAGCGAAGGATAGGGTGTCTGTCGGAGGATGCCCTAAGTCCTCCCAGCCCCATTTACTCACGGTGGCAGCCGCAACACTCCAGTCTATCAGAGATCCGCCGGGATGGGGAGCCAGGAGGGCGGGGGCTGCTCCGCTGGGGGTAGGTGGAGGCCGGGGGGCCGGGGGGGCCGGAGGCCGGGACGAGTGCAATATTGGCAGGGGAAAGAACAACACTGCACCGCGTCCCGTCCCTCCCGCCCGCCCGGGGCCCGGGATCCCGCTCCCCATCGCCTGAAGCTGGCCCGACCCGGGAACACGGGGCGCGCTGGGAAGCTGGGTTCACCTTGGAGCCCAGAGAGACTTGGCGCCCGGAAGGCAAAGGGAATGGTAAAGGGGAGGGGGTAGGGAGAGTGGAGTTCGCGGAGTCCCGGAAGGCCGCTTTCCGACGCCCGGGCGTTGCGCGCGCTTGCTCTTTAAATACTCAGACTGCGCGGCGCGGAGCCGTCGCCATGGTGACGCGTGTCCCAGCAACCGAACTGAATGGCTGTTGCCTGGCAATGTCGGGAGTTACGGTTTGTTGCCGCCCACCTAGCTTCTTGGGTTTTCTCCGGCCTGGGAGTGGGGGGCTCCCCGCCTCCCCGGCCCGCGCGTCCGGGCGCGCTGACGTCAGACGCCCCCACCCCGCCCCGCGCCCGCCCCCGGGTCTTGCCGCGCACAAAGCCTCGCCTCGGAGGCCCGAGAGGCGCGCGGGCGGGAGAGGTGGTCTCTCGCCCGGTGACCCAATGCTCTCCAAACCCGTGCCTCGCTGAAGTGTTTTTAAAGTGTTCCTTCCAATCTGTGTCGTTGGGGCTGAGAACTGTTTCCCAAATACAGTCGGAACTGCTTCCGTCGCCCTAGACCGCAGCAAGCGACGGCTGGACCCAAGTTCCACGTGCCGCCGCGGCCCAGGATAGCTTCCTCCTCTGGCGCACCGCTGGCCGCACACACCTCCCGTGTGCTTTTGCCCCCCACTGCGTGCCTACCTGTCCCCAACACCACTCTGCTCCTCAAAGGATAGTTCTGTGTCCCTAAATCCCATTGTCACCCCACCTACTCTCTGCCTCTTAAGTACATAACGGCCCACACAGAACGGGTCCAGCTCCCCCGACCACGTTCCAATGTCCTCTCCCATATATCTTGGTGCCCCTTCCACGTACCTCAGGACCCCACCCGCTCGGCTCCACATCCTCCAGGCGCCACCACCACGCCCTCCCGAAGTGCCCCTCCTAAAGCTCCCAGCCGTCCACCATGCTGAGCGTTCCTCCTTTCCTGGCCACGGCAGTGACCCTTCTCTCCCGGGCTCTGCCTCCCTCTCGCGGGGTCTCTCTGCCTCACTTAGGTAGCGCTGCCCTAACTCCTCTCCATCCGGTCCGAGCGGCCCCTCAGCCGGCGCCGTCCAGCCCCGCAAGGCTTCTGGTGACCACTAGAGGGCGGGAGCTCCTGGCTAGCAGTGGAGGGTGGCAAGGGACGACCCTAGGGTTCATCAGAGCCCAGGTTTCCTCCTTTAAGTGGAAATTTCTTTCCCCATTCTCTTCTCGGGAGAAACCCAAGGAGGGAACCCAGGCTGCTGGAAAGTCCGGCTGGGGCGGGGACTATGGGTTTCAGGATAGAAACTGCGTGTGGAACGGGACAGGGAGCGGTTAGAAGGGTGGGGCTATTCCGGGAAGTCGTGGGGGCAGGGAGCCCAAAACTAGCACCTATTGCACTCATTATCCAGCCCTCTTATTTCTTCTCGGCCCCGCTCTGCTTCAATGGGTCCAGGGAGGGCCGGAAAGTGGAGTGGGAGACCTAGGGGGAGCTTTCTGGCCTTGCTGTCCAGGACCTCGACCTAGCCGGCTGTGTTCCCCATTCCCACCTTAGTTGTTGCCCTGGGGCTAAAACTAGAGCCCAGGAGCCCCAGGTTCCAGATTGGCCCTCTGCCCTTCCTCCTGGAGCCAGGGAGTGGTTGGTGAAAGGGGGAGGCCAGTTGGAGAAGAAACGGGGTTGTCAGGGGGTTGAGTGATTAGAGCCCATTCCCTAGCCAGGAATGGTTGGGGAGGAGGAAGAGGTAGGAGGTAGGGAAGGGGGAGGGGGCGGGGTTTGTCACCTGTCACCTGCTCTGGCTGTGCCTAGGGCGGGCAGGGGGGGGACCGGTATAAAGCAGCAGGCGCTTGTGCCCGCTCCACCTTTCAAGCAGCGCCTGCCTGAGTCTGTTCTGCCCCCTCCCCACCCAGTTCACCACCACCATGACACCGGGCATCCAGTCCCCTTTCTTCCTACTGCTGCTGCTCATAGTGCTTACAGGTGAGAGGCACAAGGGGGGAGTGGGCTGCCCTGCTTAGGTGGTCTTTATGCTCTTTCTGTGGGTTTTGCTCCCTGGCAGATGGCATCATGAAAGGCAAGAATTGCAGACAGAGGCTGCCCTGTCTGTGCCAGGATGAGGGAGAGGCTAAGGACAGGCTGTGAAGAGGTGCTCCCCACCCTGAGAGTGGCTGCAGGGGCAAGCAAATGTCCTGAAGAGAAGTCTCAGAGGAAAAGAGTAGGGAGAGGGAAGGCTTAGGAAGGAGAAATGCACAGGCCAGCAGCTGAGGCCTGTGGGCAGAGAAGGAGGAGGTCGCAGGTACGGAGCCGGCCAACCCAGGGGCTGCCTGAGGCTGCCCACTCCCCAGTCCTTTGGTATTATTTCCCGGTGGCTAGAGCTTGTATTTTCTTCTTTTGTCCTCCAACCCAACCCTGTGACTTCAACATCTTACAGCTGCCACAGACCCTACAGCAGTTCTTTTTTTTTTTTTTTAAAGACAGGGTTTCACCATGTTGGTCAGGCTGGTCTTGAACTCCTGACCTCAGGTGATCTGCCTACCTTGGCCTCCAAAGTGCTTGGATTACAGGCGTGGGCCACCACGCCCGGTCCTTACAGCAGTTCTTACAGGTTCTGGTCATGCAAGCTTTACCGAAGGTGGAGAAAAGACGGGGACTACCCACAGAAATTCAGCACCCAGCTCTACCAGGAATGTTGTGAGTGTGACCAGCAGTGGCATCTCCAGCCATAGCCCTGGTTCAGGCTCCTCCACTATTCAGGGACAGAACCTGACCCCGGCCCTAGCCACCACACTAACCTCAGGTTTGGCTGCCACTGGGGGACAGGATGTCTCCTTGACCCCAGCTCCGGGCTCTACCACTGCTCCAGCCCACCACGGCACCTCGGCCACGGACACCGGGCCAGCCTCTGGCTCCACCACCGCTCCAGCCCACCATGGCACCTCAGCCACGGACACCGGCCCAGCCCCAGGCTCCACCACCACTCCAGCCCACCATGGCACCTCGGCCACGGATACCAGGCCAGCCTCTGGTTCCACCACCGCACCAGCCCACGGCTCCACCATCAATCCAGCCCACCATGGCACCTCAGCCACGGATACCAGGCCAGCCTCTGGCTCCACCACCGCTCCAGCCCACGGCTCCACCACCACTCCAGCCCACCATGGCACCTTGGCCATGGACACTGGGCCAGCCTCCAGCTCCACCGCAGCTCCAGCCCACCATAGCAGCTCAGCCACAGACACCGGGCCAACCTCCAGCTCCACCACTGCTCCAGCCCACGGCTCCACCACCACTCCAGCCCACCATGGCACCTCGGCCATGGACACCGGGCCAGCCTCCGGCTCCACCACAGCTCCAGCCCACCATGTCACCTTGGCGACGGACACTGGGCCAGCCTCCGGCTCCACCACCGCTCCAGCCCACCATGGCACCTCGGCCACGGACACTGGGCCAGCCTCCGGCTCCACCACCGCTCCAGCCCACCATAGCAGCTCAGCCATGGACACCGGGCCAGCCTCCGGCTCCACCACCGCTCCAGCCCACCATGGCACCTCGGCCACGGACACCGGGCCAGCCTCCGGCTCCACCACCGCTCCAGCCCACCATGGCACCTCGGCCACGGACACTGGGCCAGCCTCCGGCTCCACCATAGCTCCAGCCCACCATAGCAGCTCAGCCACAGACAGCGGGCCAGCCTCCGGCTCTACCACCGTTCCAGCCCACCATGGCACCTCGGCCATGGACACCGGGCCAACCTCCAGCTCCACCACTGCTCCAGCCCACCATGGCACCTCAGCCATGGACACTGGGCCAACCTCCGGCTCCACCACCGCTCCAGCCCACGGCTCCACCACCAGTCCAGCCCACCATG